GCATCGCTCCAATCAGCAATATGCCCTCAAACTCCTCAAACCCAAAAACCCCTAAGCCTTATAAAAGCCCCAATCCACCCCAAGCCCTAAAACCCTAAACAAAGACCGAAAGCCCTAAACGCTGCAAACCCTAAACCCCAAAAACCCTAAAGTCGCTGAACCCTAACACCATAAAAAAATACAAGTAAATAAAAGGAAAAAACACACACACACACACACACATTAAACCCTAACAAGAGTTAGCCCTAAAAACCTTAACCACTAAAAGCCCTAAACCCTGAAATCCACACGCCCTAAAACAAAAAAACACAAACCCTAGACAGTCTAAACCTCATAAAACCTAAGCCCTGGAAACCCTGAACCCTAAACATCAACAGACCTAAAACCCCCTAGAAACTCCAACCCCTAAAAACCTTGAACCCTAAACCCTGAAAGCCCTAAACCTTAGAACCCTAAACCCTAAAACACCCGAAACTCTAAAATCAAAAAAAGCCTAAAAGCCCTAAACACTACAAGCCCTGAACCCTAAAAGCCCTGACAACCCTAACCCTAAACCCTAAACACTCGAAACTCCTAAAACCCTAAACCCTAAAAACCCTAAATCCTACGACCCTGACACCCTAAACCCTAAAAACCCTGAACCCTAAAAACCCCAAAGCCTCAAACACTAAACCCAAAACACCCTACAACGGCTAGATCCTAAAAATCCTACGCCCTAAAAACATTAAACCCTAATCACCCTAAAAGCCCTAAAAACCCTAAACCCTAAACACCCTAATAGCCCCAAAGCCCTAAACCCCAAAAACCCTAAACCCTCAAAGTCCAAACGCCCTGGGCACCCACCCTAGATCCCCTAAACCCCAAGAACCCTAGATCCCAAAAACCCTAAACCCCAAAAAACTTAAAACCTAAACCGAAACCCTAAAGGGTGCAATTTGCAGTATTCGTAACCTTTCAAGAGCCGCAAATGTTGTGATTTGCAGTATTGGCAGCGCTTCAAGAGTTCCAAATGCTGTTATTTGCAATGTTCGTAGTCTGTCAAGACCCGCAAGTGTTGTAAATTGCAGTATTGGCAGGCTTCCAAGAGCTCCAAATGCCGCAATTGGCAGTTTGCGTAACCTTTCAAGAGCCGATGCTGTAATTTGCAGTAATGGCAGCATTTCAAGAGCTCCAAATGCTACAATTTGCAGTATTCCTGTCACAAAGAAAACACAAATAACAAAAACATACACAGAAAAAAACAATAAAAACAACTAAAATAATGTTTGATCCTTTAGGGTTTAGCCTTTGGCGTTCCTCAGGGCCTAGGGCTTGCGGCAACGCATTGTGGCCCGTCACTGGACTGTGTCCGACATTACGACCTCTACAAAATGACCAAAAAACTGTGATTGCCGACTTGTGGCCCTTCTGGGGGTTTAAGGGGGAACAAAAGGGATAGGGCAGCCCCGTCTGAGGAGCTCCGAAAGCGCCAGCTTTCGTGACTTGAGCACCTCTAATGAAAATACATGCTTTGTGATCTCGAAGCCCCAACCAGCGGTAGTCATCGCATCCAAAACCATGTTGACAGTTTAAGCGCGAGTCCAGCACATCCGCATCCTTTCGTCAGTATTTATCTACCGCGACAACATTCCAATATCAATACACGTAGCTCGCGTGCATAGCCACGACATGAAGCAAACCACAAAGGGTTGTACGGCACAGTCTGCACAACGCTCTCGCGCCATCAGTGCAAGCGTGCCAAAGACTGTTCTGATGTGCAGCAACCAGCTCCAGACTCGCACCCAATTGCTCTTCTATGCACGCACCCTTCTCTCGACTCGCCCTGCACCAAAGAGCTATGGGAAGGAGCAAGGACAGGTGCCTCAGCACCATTTGCTGTCATGACCAGCTTGGTTGGCCAAACCTGCAATTGCCACCGTGTGGATTGTGTCGACTCTATGCAATCGTTACCTGAGCAGTGATGTCGCTGTTAACCTTCACGCACCTGCCAGCTTCATTATTGAATCAGACGCGTGCAAAGCTGCGAAGCAATCCTGGCCTGCAGAAGATGCTTTGATCCTCCTTTCTCCACGCCCTCATGACCACGCACAGTCACAGCGTGGAATGACGGAATTTGCTTCAATACTTGTCAAGCTAACACCGGGCGCACTTCAGCTCAGGCAAGTCCAGGTTGAAGGAAACCGTCGGACGCATGAACATGTGCTGGCGCAAGATGCCTGCCAAAAACACCAACCTTGCTAGATAAAGCTGCAACTGATGCTCAACCGTAAGAAGTCCTCACACAGCTTGCACGCAAACTCAAGCTGCGGAAGGATGCGTTGCAAACACGACGAGCATGCCAGATGGCTCGATGATCGCATTGAAGGGATCCATATGCCTGGCCATGGCTTTATGCACCGCATGCAGCCCTCCTAGCTTTCAGTCTACTACACACGATTTGGCTCTTGCAGACAGCCTGAAACGGCAAAGTGGGCACCAAAAGTTCTCCAGCGCCCTGGTATACTCCGCTGTTTGCAGGTCAAAGTCCGAGAAGCAATACCTGGCGAACGAGTAGCTAGCAAATGTCAACCCATGGCAACCCACAGTTAGGGGCACGTACACTTCAGCACCCTGGCTGCCAGCATGCCGATGTGCCCTATATCGCTTTCCTTTGAGAAAGGCCCAGTGCCCAGCTTGTTCCTGCAGCACATTGCAGCAAGATGCCGCAAGGAGTTAATCTGCGAAGCAAGGGCAGACCTTTCATTGTTGCAGGAATGGTTTTTCAGCGTACAAGCAACGCTCCCGGAACGGCCATCACCCATTGGCGAGCTGACCAGAAAAATGAAACGACACACAGCAGGGGTCCTCATGACTCATGCAAGGTGTCGTTCGGTTGAAACATAAATCTTGAACGATGTTTTACACAATGAACTGCTGCAATTGAGATTGCTTCTTTCGCAAGCCATCCGTGTAGATCCATTCCAAAGCTCGGGCTGGTGAGAGCAGTTTGCAGTAGTGGTTGCCTGCGCCATATGATGGCCCAGACAGTGGGTAGAACGCGTACCATGATGACACCTCCACACCATCGGAGGTCTCTTCAAAGTTGAGGTAGTTCCAAATCCACCATGGACCTGCTGGCGGGGTAGGTTTTTTGTCTGCTACCATGATGAGGCTGCGCCCTTTTTGCTGAAATCGGCCACGAACTTCTGCTGACGCAGCTTTCAAAGCCAGCTCGTAGGCTGCCTGGTTAATACTCTTGCCTCAGGATCCAAGTCATTGTGAACCAAAGATGAACAAACCAGCCTATTCATACAATGAAAAAAACAATTCAGTAGCGAGTCACATCGGTCGCCCTGATCCAAGTCAGGTGAGCTCGCACGTCCGCTGACATTGAACACCAACTCACGACTTGCGAGCTTCGTGGCAATCTCGATAGCCGATGTGGGTACTGATCCGTCATCTGGTAAAGCATTTTTTTTGTCTGCCAGCACCCCAGCCTTCTCCTCTTTGATGATCTCCCATCCATTCAGGCCAGCAAGAGTTTGTAGAACAGATACTTTGATATAGCGCAACTGGGTAACTGTGCTACTTGCAAGTCCTTGCTTGAGCTCGACAGTAGGTCTGTGCTTTGAGCGGTAGTAGGGCGGAATCAGGTCCTCATCGCTGAGCAGGCGAAACTCGTTCCTCGCCTCGGCCCATGCCATCCCCTCCGGAAGTGGCTCCGCCAGCTTCTGTTGCGCATCTGCCGCCCATTTGCTACTGCCTTGCTCGTCACTGTTCGACGTCCACCACCAACTGCCCTCCTGTTCCACAAACATCTGCACGAAGGGCTCAAAGAAGGTCGCTTCGAAGTCACTCGGAAGACCCTGCTGATCTATCAGATAATCAACAACAATTCCTGCCACTGCGTCGCGAGCTTTGGAGGAGCCGATCTCGCTTTCAAGGTCTGCCGCTGCAACAGCAGCTGGCACCGAATCAAGGAGATCTGCATGACTCATCCCCTTCACAAGCCTGACAGCATGCTGCGACAACTCTTGCTGGGTGTACCAAGCCTCTGCTAAGCGTGAGACTCGAACGATTCCGTCAAGCTCTCCACCAAGACTCAGGGTTGGCAATGCGTACTCCGGAGCTGGAATGGTTGGCCCGGTGCAGTTGTGAACTCCATCTGGCAAGTAACCTGCAGGACACAGAGGCTTTCCTGGGCAGGATAAGCTGGGCTGCTTCTCCCAGGTCTTTGCACAAGCTGCGACGCTGGGACGCCACTCGCGGTCAAGAAATCCAGCTAGCAACACAACTGCTCGGGCTTTGTGTCTGGATGTCGGAGCAAATGCTTGCGCTTGTGCAGCACCGCCTGTTCCCATGCCATGGCCCATAAAGACAAGCGACGCGTTTGGGTTGGCAGCAAGCAGCTCATCAATCTTTGGCTCCATGTCTGCAAAGGTCTGAAAAGATCCGGGCAGCAGGACCTTCAGACCCTTGCGATCTGCTTGCTGCTGGACTGCATCCAAGAAGCCAGAATATGCGGCATCAGGGCGTCCCATGAATGCCAGCACCACAGACCTAGATTCCTGCAGAGCTTGCACTGGGTTTGTGACCGCGATGGACAAGAGCAGCCACACGGACCAGGCCGACCATGTTAGCTGCAGCATGTCTACACAAAAGGACACGTACCTCCCTCAACTGATGGCTCGTCACACAGCTCTGAACCGAAGAATATCACCGCAGCATCATTTCATTTGAATGCTGGTGTCTTGACTACGTTCCCCAACGCTCACCGCTAGCTTCATGGAGCTAGCCTGGTGTGCTAAACGTGTACTGATACCTGTACGCTTGACACCCCCTGTCCCACGCTTTGGGTTCACATGCATGTCTCCAGACCACGCCTGAAAGCAACGCAGGCTTCAAAGCGAATACCATGTGGTAGATTTCGCCTTAAGAGCAGGATCATCCCCAGTGCAAATCCTGCCAAGTGTCTAGCCAGCGTCGTAAGTCGTGGGCAGGTCCACATCTGATTGCGGAAAGGGAACAAGCTCAGGCTCCTGCAGGGTGCATTTGACAGGCCATCTGAATGCCATCAACGTCTGATGTTAAGTGGCCAGTCCTGCTCTGGTGACACGTCTAGCAAGGCCCCACTAGTGGGATGTGCCTGACATGCACGATCCATAAGGCCATCTCACAAGCAAAATCTCGCATGACAACGGGGCAGCTCTGCGAAGAGCCACTTTCTAGCTCCAACTGCTCGAAATCGCACCAGCGCACCCGTGATTGGAGGTACCTTCAGTACACACTCCGCGGTTTTCCGCAGAGGCATTCCGGCTTTTGGAACCACCTAACATGTGGTTTGAAGATCCGCCGAGGCCGGAGGCCTGGGGCGTTTAGATCCAGGTTTGGAGACTAGGAGAGTAAGTTAACCCGCCCCCTACTTTCACATCTTTCACAGCAGTCCGCGATGCGGGGGTGCCATTAGTCTTTTTTGTCGTTTTTCGGGGGTCGAGAGGATTTGGCTGGTGTCAAAATTAAGTTTGGGTGTGTTTTGGGCAGGGGGGGTGTGGAGGGGTGGAGGGTCTGGGGGGCTGCGATCAACTTGCAGAACATGACTGGCGGCGTCTTTCATATCCTCCGCGATCCTGCGACGCGAAATGCAGAAGATGCGACAAGAAACTTCTTGAAGGGATGGGTTTGGAAGAGGGTTCGTGGGTCTTCAGCTCTCCCCACCCTTGCCGAAGCGGTCCCGCGTTAGGAGTTAAATTATCCTCTTCTTGGCCCCGCTGGTGGGCATCACAGGATGACTGTGAAGTTCGCTGGACAGCAACATTGAAACTTAAGGGCCTCCTAGTTACAATAGATTGCCTAAACATGCTGCCAATGGCATGTTTCAAGCAGGGTATGCTTACACATGGCCCGGTCAGCCGGCACCTGCTCACCATGGCACACATGCAACGTGCCACTGCACTGGCGCACACAGCTGACGTACTGCCACTTGACTCGCATCACACCTGGCTTCGAAAGAGTCTTACTTTTGCTAATGGAAGCAAGGGATATCATGACGGAGGATTTGCCTTGGCCAACATCCATGACATAGAGTCGGGGTTCCTGAATTTGAAGAATCACGTGCGTACTCTTGAAAACATGAGAGATGCAGTCCATCCTTTGGTTGTGCTGGAGGGGCAGGAAGCTTCAGCTCACCTGTCAGAACGTTTATCGTCTCAAAACGCCGATTGGAGTGGAAAAGTCATCTGGCCTATGCAGGCTGGCTTGCTAATCGCCGACTCGCAGCACCATCGATTGTTCACGAGAAAAGACACCATGGCCTGGCAGGGGCGCATTCAACCTTTTGGAAGGAAAGAGCTGGTAAGCCTGCAAATCCAGACCCTGAATGATGAGCTGATTTAAGTATTAGCTGTGATGTTGGGCTACAAACGTGTCCAACACAAGAACCACTTTGACGAAGCACATGAGCGAGTCAGTCATTGCAAAACTGATGGAGGAGTGAAAGAGGAAAATGCCTCAAAGTTGGAGCTTGATATTCCAGAGTTTGAGAACAAGGGGACCAAAGCTGATGTGCAAGCTTTGGTTTCGCTTGCCAGTTGATCTGGATCTGAAACCTGCAATGACAAAGTCAGCGCACGCTGAGGGAAGCTGAATCAGATTTGGGGGCACGATTCTCCATCCAGGGCCCGGATCCCATGGATGCGCAGCGGACGCCAAGCCGGATGACAATCAAATTGCCAGCCACGCCCCGACAATTTCCAAACAAACTGCTTGTCCAGATCCAACTTGTTTGGGCAAGCCATCAAGAAGTGACTTGAAGCAAGTGCTGCGTGCCAAAACAAAGTTCATTCATCCCCACTTACTGTTGTTATGCTCGTGCGCTGCTGAAACCATCTCTCACTCTTGTCTGCCCTGACGTTTCAGCTGCGAGGCATTCTTAGTTGCGAAAAGTTTAGGTTAAGTGTCGTACTGTGATTGTTGGCAGGGGACATCCTACAATGGACTGAAGCATTTCAAGCCAGGGTTTTTGGCTGAACAGAATCTCTCAGGTGTTTGGAAGCTTGCTCACAGCGATTTTGTTTCAGCCTTCTTGTTGCCGGGCTACTATTTGCCAGAATGAGGCCTTTGAAGATTCCACGAAGTGACCTTCCGTTGTACATATACACACTGTCATTCGTCTACTGACACCATCAATGATTCTTACCGCAGTGGTTCCATGGCGCAATCATCTCTAACATCAGCGTTCATGCTCCATGTTCTCCACAAGGACTGAAGTTAAGAAAAAGCTTTTCTCCAACCTGGCAAAGGACAGTACTGAAAAAGTGTGCTGCGGTTAAGCCATACGAGTTTGCGGCCATGGGCCACACCTAAAGTCTTGGTATCCGAAACTGCTTGAACTCCAAAGCCTCATGCTCCTTCGAGTTGCGAGGGATCAAGACAGCTTGCGACCAACATGGATGGCTAGGTAGCCGCTAAGGTGTGTCAGCCACTGGTGAAGCGTCATCCCGGCATCGTTCCTACTTTCTCAGACCTTTGCAACCCAGGTCCCCAATGCCTCAGAAAGCCCCAGAGAAAGGTGTCCAGCAAGGCTATTCACACGTACCCATCCTCACCATGACCCGCGTCACCTCTCCGAAGGGATACTATCTGCTTAGAGCAGGGGTGTCAGCAAGACGGTAAATGAGTACAACAGGAGACCCAAAGTCGTGAGTATCCCATGGCCCAAAAATAGCTTGAATTTCTTAGCAAGGGATTGGCCAGCATCGCACCGGCCTCATACTCGATGCCTTCCTCTAAACCAGTGGCGATCGTTTCAGAGGCAGGCGCAGCAATGGCACCACCGGTACCTGAAACTTTTTGTGATGCACTAGACTTGTTTCCTTGCCCCTAGCATGTCCAGGGCCGTTGCAAAGATACCAGTTCTGGTTGCCAACCCGGCGCAGCCTTGTTCAACTTCATCCTTCATTGACCATTCTGAGACTCGCTTTTCTGAGGGTTCTGCTTGACAATTGTCTGCTTGGCATCGTCAGGCAGCTTCCATTTCACCTGCGAGGATCACAACTGCTCTGAAAGTATGTCGTTAACGGAATGACATCAAAAGCCTTCATTTTGCCGTCACCCTGCGGCACCATTACCGGAACCTCGGCGAAGTCAGGAGAACACAGAAAAAATGAAACTGCAATACAACTTTGGGAGGTCCGCTTCGGTATTGGCACCCTCGTGGATCACAAGCTGCATGCCACCTATCTGCCCCTGCAGAAACAAGGCTTTCAACAGGCCCCTTTCCAGGAACAAAGGGTCACATGTCCTTGGCATCAATGTTGGCAACGCTGTCGCTTGCCATCGAGTAGTCTCCGAAGCCCTGCAATCTGAAAGATCACACTTTGGGTGACTGGGCAACTTGGCAGGCTCAAGGGGTGCTGGACCTCCGCATTGCGGCAGCAAATTTCAGCTGCATACTCAACACAGTCCTCCCGGCAAAAATTCTAGAGCCAGCAGCTATGACGGCATGCAAATCAGTGCTTCAAGGCCTGAACTTCTTTGATGTGCACCTGTTCATGAACAGACAGCAAGATTGTCGGGTACCTGAAGTTGCTACACTGGAATGATGCATGGGCCCTGTTCTGCCTCTGTCCGGGAGGCTGCGAAGGTAGTTCGACCGGAACTCACCAAAGCTCCGGTTGCATCAACCAGCCATTTGTTTCCTAGCTCAGGCAAGTTCAAAAATGCATCATTCAAACAACTTCAGCTGCAAGTCCTGTTCCCACATCTGTGAGCTGCACCTGCAGCACAGGGTCATTCAAGACTGAATTCCTGCTCAAAACCACACAGCCGCATGGCCTGCGTCGCCTCAACAGGAGGGCATGCACTTGGAATTGCCTGACGGGCAAAGTATGTCAGAAAGCCTGTTGTGCTAGGCATGCCGCTTGGTAGGCTACGGACCCAAGAAACTCGGAGCTTCCCCTTTCCAAGTGCTGTGAGCGTTGGTGCTGTTGGTCTGGGAGGCTTGTCCTATCATGGATCAGTGGCAACAGCTTTCCAAAGCATTACAATGCGCACTACCTGTCTCTAATTCGATAAAAGGTCCCGCGGCTTCAGGGCACCAAAGAAGCCAGGCTCGCTGAAAGGCGACGGCCTGAAAGTTTCAAAAAGTCGAAGCCAACTGAACCAATGCAAAGCGTCTCACGGGCAAGGCGACAAGTCATGCGGAATGCTCTCGGAGCACGGCTCGCTCCAGCCCTCGCTATTCATCACAGCGAGGATCGCCTAAACAGCGTCTAGCTTGGCACACGTGCTCTAACAAACGCCTCTGGCCTCATACTCGATGCCCTCTTCGCACCCCTCCACGGTTATCTCACGGAGTGGTGCAGGAACCTACTGCCGATGCACATGCAGCAGCTTTTTGGGGAGCTGGAACATGACATCATCGAGAGAGTCAGCTTGGGATCACGCAGTCGAACCACCTTTTGGAACTAAGCGCCCGGTGCCATGGTCGTAGTTATGAAGCCTGACATAGCAAAACGCGAAGAAACACAAGGTCTCTTCATGTCTGGGGGTCTGTTGAAACGCTTTCACACACTAAGCCTGGCCTGTGACTGCCACGTATTCGAAGCTTCAAAGTTGAAGCAGTGACCTATTTCACCAGCAGCATTCAACATGCCCCGAATGGACAAATGAAGATAGCGCACTTCCGGATCAACATCGGGGATGCTCCAAGAGATCCTCAAAATGAGTTACACTCAGCTGGAACATGTAGGCTGCTGGATGGCACAGCTCCTTAAAGATGAACTTGCACCGAATACGCACGGCCTGGAGCGTTTGCAGGCGGAAAATCTGAACGGCACTTGGGGGCCCAAAGTGGTGCCGAGCAGCTTTTCAGGCGCAGGTGGCTTGGCCATGGCTGTGCCGGCTGTGCGCCGTCCCGCCGGGGACCTGCACGAACGTCTGCAAGAACCTCCGCAATCCCAAGCAATAGAGTGGTACTTGGCTCGCACAAGAAAATCTACACTGTTGTATTGGCTGACAATATCGCTGACGGCATGTCACACAAATTGCCTTGTCTTCTATGATGCGCTGGATACCACTGAGCGCCAACGCCGAACAGAAAACAACTCAGCAATTGTTGGATATGGCTGGAATGGGGTCCGCAACCCACATGAGAGCTTCGACTCCATTATCCTCTGCGAACCTTCCTATTTCAACTGATGATAACGCAACCTGATTGCACTTGCACTTTTGTCTTGAAAAAACCATGTGAACCGCTTATGACTTGGAAAGGCGAACCACAGTGAACCATGATTTGAGCCGAAAGCAAGATGGAAAAACCGGATGGTGATTCTGATGCACCATTCGCAACAAAAATAACAGAGGATAACATTTGCAAAGCGCAACAACTGTCTCCACTTTGCTGTTGAACTTGTCAAGCTTACCCTGAGGCTCGTTTTGCCACCAAACTGGCAACCGTGGCATGACTCAATTTCAGCCCCATCATGCAAGTCTTTGGCAATTCACGTCTCCGCATGCAACCTGGCCGAAGATTCGAAAAAACTCCCCAAACTGACTTATTAGTTGGCCACAAGCAGAACCTCGGGCCTGGCAGCTGTACCTTTCGGACAATTCAGGTAACAGATGGTTTTGCCAGTCAGTGGAACCCACCCTTCTTAAAATGATGCAAGCGAATTCGCCTCAGCCTCTGGACGACAGGCGTCTGGAACAAGCTGACCAGGATCTAGTTTTCTCCCCCTCTCCCAGCCCTCACCCCACCCCCCCGCCCCGTGAGTCCCTCAAAAACTCCTACCCCCCAATGACACTCGTTTTCTGGACGCCGTACCATTTCCCAAATTTTGCAACCCAAAAAAATGAGCCCCACACCACCTGCCTGGTTGCTCCAAGACAGACTTCACATAAGACAAAGCACATCAACGTAAGCAAATGCAGAGGAGACATTAGGCGGTGCTTGCACCTTGTAAATGGCCCTTTCTTGTCGCAACAGCACAACATAATGCGAAACTGGAGCCACGCATAACAGATCTATGCACTTAGTGGAGCATCAACGGGCACATTTTCTTCGTGAAGTTCAATGCGTCCATGAGACTCTACGTCTGGAGCTGACCCGCCATCTGCAAGAGCCTGTGGAGTTTGCCAAACACTGCGAAAATCTTGGTCAATCAACAATTGTTCAACTGTTTACAATTCTGTCACATTCCATCATTACAATGGTTCGCACATCCTGAAACCCACATGGAAGGCCATGGAAAACATTTCTAGAACAACCACGCGGAAGCAAAGGTTTACCTCTCCCCTTGTAGTTTGAAGCATCGCTTTAAACAGTCTGTCCACCGTTGGCAATTCGTCCACACAAGCAGAAAGCGGGTTGCTTCGACGTGAACATTTTTCCAAACTTACCCCCGCTTTCGACCCTGTTGACGGGTTAACGTTCAGGCATGGGATTTGCGTCAAATCATGATTATATATAAATGATATGTATATATATATATGTATATAGATTTTTTATGTCCACTTCGCAGGGGCTCGCTGTGTCTGAACCCATCAACACCGACTATGACGCTCCTACTATTGGATTTTCAGCTCGCTTCAACTATACATTCCTTGTGGGTTAATGAGTAAAGGTTTTCCAAAATCTGCGATCAGTGGAACCAGCCCTAACTTTGCGAAGGAGGGTTGTATTATCCATCCAAACCAGATTTTGGTTAGCATGGGTGACTCTAACCTCGTGGGATGTTGGGATGCCAAAACAAGCGTTATGGATATCTAATGAAAGGGAGCGGCATTAGGCAACAAATAGTCGATTCTGTTGGAGGCCTCAACCATACAGGATTCCGCCCAGTGGAGTCGCGGACGCCCTACTCTGTTGGAGCCCGGTATATGCCGATAACAACCTGATTGCATTAAAGTGGCTTGGAACTCGATTGTGTCTGGATGCCTACGCAGGTGGCCGAAAAATCTCAGTCTGTCATGTGAATATAGTTGAGAAGGGGTATAGCTTTTCTGGAGGAAAAAGCAAGCCCTGAAAGGTGATAGTAAGAGGCTTGATTTTGAAGATTGTCCTCAGTGATTGAAGACGGACACAATTAAGCTTAGTGATCTGGGGACCAGATAGAAGGAGGCTATCAGTGGCGTACATGAGTATAGGGAGCACAATTGATCTGTAAACTGTAAGATATATGGAGCAGTTCTATAGATTGCTCCCACAATTTCATTTCAGCCCGGGGCCTTGTTAGGTTTAAGGTTGCGCAGGGCTAATGTAAGTTCATGCATCGTAAAAGGGGGATTCATGGAAGCGTCAGGCAGAGGAGGGTCGCGTACCTCAAGGGGAGGGGCCTCCTCCGAGAATCAATTTTTTTGGAGAGGTAATCTGCGAATGTATCGGAGCGAAGGTGTTTGGAAACCAGTTTGGAATCCAGATTATACAACGTGTTAGAGGTCGGCTTAAAGGGAGCCCTGATTGAACGAATATGTTCCCATTGCTGAGCACTGCTGCCTTGAAAATCAGATTGCAAGTTCTGAGCAATGAAAAGTTTGGAAGTGTCGGCGCTGGGGGGGACGCTGGGGGGGATTAATGGGTCTGCTCCACTTGCCCCACTTGGCCCATATGACACACTTGACCCACTTGCCCCACTTGCCCCACTTGCCCCACTTGCCCCACTTGAAACACTTGACCCACTTGACCCACTTGACCCACTTGCCACTTGCCCCACTTGACCCACTTGCCCCACTTGCCCCACTTGCCAATGCCCAAGGATAGCGACAACATCAGCAACAGCACCACATACGGCTCGGCGGTTGAATGCTGGATACTAACGATTGCCAAAATTCAGGAGCGGAAGTTTGAGACTATGCTGGCCAAGGTGAGAGAGGGGCTGGACAGTCTGACAACCATACTGGACAAGATGCCCGGTGCGATGTATGAAGCGCTGGACTGGAAAACTTCCGAGGAAGATTTCGAAGAGCTCCTACACTACTTCTACCCCAGGGAGTGCAGCAGCGATGAGACCGCCAAAGAAGATGAGGGCGCCGAATCATCGGCCCCAAACACACCGGCCCACAAGGACAGAGGCAGGGCCAGCACCGACAGCAGTGCGCTCACCAGCACCCTGGATAGCACCAGCAGTGGCGGCCCAGCTCACCCACCATGTGTACCATATCGATTCTCATTAACAGATGTGGAAAGGAGCCCCGGGAGGGGAGCTTCTCATCGGAGCTGCGCAGGGGCACTCAGTCCCAACCAACAGCGAGGCCCTCCACACCAGGGTAGATGGGGTCCCCAAATTGGAGCACGCCACTCACTATGACTTCTACAAGCAGATCATGAAACAGGGCATCCGCCCTGGAGGATCGAAGGAACAGTCCAGGAGAACACAAGTACACTGCCTTCCGGTAGATGGCGACAACGAGCGCTTCTACCCTGCGCAGGCGGACCTCATCCTCAAGCTGGACCCCACCAAGGCAAAGTGTGAATGGGTCCTGTCACAAAATGGGTACTACTTGACGGAGAGCACTGAGCACAGTGCCCCCCTCCTGCATTGAAGCGGTTGTAATTCGTGCTACAGGCGAAGTAGTCTGGCCAGAAAAGTCAGCCCCCCCCGCAGAAGTTGATATCACGCGAGCCCTCCTGAATTCTCACATATGGACGGAAAGCCGTACTTCGACCCCATCCAAGCACCGCACCATTTGCATGCACTCTTGTCTCGGACATATCTGTGCACGTGATCATCCATAGGACGGTAAACACTCGCTCTTGGCATACCGCGCAGCTGCACAGACACCAAGAGGCGAGTTACGTCAAGGGGGCATTCCAGTCCAAAGGTTTGAAGGCAATTCTAGTGCACAGTATTGAACCCTTGAAGCAAGATGATATATGGCGAGGCAGGGACATTCTCTCCGCAGGCAACACGCTGAGCACTCATGAACAACGTCACGCACCGCGAGGTCCGTCAAAAGCACCAAGCGGAGATGCCAGCACTTGCAGCAGGCCCGATAGCTGCTACCTTCACGGTTTTTCATCGACATGTTCACGTTCTGTACGCTCCTCCAGCAACGCAACAAAAGAAGACCCCACACCCCTGCATTCGACAATCGCAAAACGCAGCTCTCATGAGCCGCGTCGGTCCCAAGTCCGACGGTCTAGCCAGCTATCACCAGGAGGGCACAAAGATATGGTTAGACGAGGTGAGGGTTCCCCGGGGACCTATCAGTAACAGTCCACGGCCTTCCAAAGGAGGGAAGGTGGCGGGAGGCGCGTATCCCAGCCAGACAAAGACGTAACTGCCGCACCATGCGCCTCATCACATCCTCTAAATTAGGAGAGGCGAAGAATACCTCACACACATGGGGGGGCAGACAAGCCGGACGCAAGGAGTAGCCCATCTCCCTCCTTTGCGTGCTCCTCTTCGTCCAACCTCAGTCGGAAGTTGTGCCCGAAGAATGTGGGAAGGACCTCTTAATAATTGAGGATGGAGGCCCGTGGGGTCATTTTATTTCGACTATCCCCTTACTCGGATTCGCGCGACTTCTCCGGATTGCTCCG